TTATAAAACTTATTAATAATGCATAAGCTATTGCTCCAATAAGGGCTGACCATTTAATCAGGTGATTGACCTTGTAAATCTGATACAACCACTAGTGGTTGTATCAGATTTACAACACGGTCGTCACCATTGAGACAACCCAACACTAGCAAAGGTCTCAGTTTTAGTGTCGCATCATAGACCTTCACTAGGTTTTGAAGCAATCAAAGACGGATAACAGAACTCGCTTATGCAACAGATGGCTTGCTTTCCATGTGGGATGGATAATTATTCAAAATGTTCTGTGTTGCAGTAAATTGCGCATGCTTAATAGGGACTAAACTCAGCAGTTACCTTATTTGTCATTTTTCGTCATTTATCTCACTGTAATTCATGTTAATTTGTGTTGGAGTTTTATAAGTCGTTTACAACATTCGCGTCCGTGTTGTATGGGAATTACAATCTCTCGTCTGCGGCTCGAGATTGTAATTCCCATACAACACGAACGCTCATGTTGTAAACTATACTAAGTCTATAAACTGACAAACTTCCCATCGGTGCACTCGACGGTCATCGACCATAAAATAAGCACCCAAACTCGAACATCAAAAAGAAAAGGGAATGTGACGCTGCTGTTCCGCAAAATGAAAATATTCCCCTCTCCTCCTATTCATTTTTGTATTTCACCCCCTGAGACGGATCCAGAATCCGAAAAAAATGAAAAAAAATGAGGAACCCGGAATCCAGCCAGTACACTTGGAATTCGGAATCAGCAGAAATCAAAACGCATCCTTAGCCCAAGTGGTTATATACCACATGATTGAACTGACCAAAAGCGAGCCTAAGCTTAAGCGCAAATGCAAACGCAAGTACAAATGTTTTCCTTCTCTCACCCTTGTTTAGAATTGTGTTTAAAATTCAAACTTTGATGTCACGCATATATTTAGCGCGGTCAGAGAATAATCCAGTTTCGAATTCTCCAATGCTCTGTGTAAGCCTCATTTGTGCGCAAAATATTCCTAACTGTGAGAATAAAAGTGTGAGATTTCAAATCAATTCATTGTTTTTCATTTCAAATTCCATGCGTTTTCTCGGACTATCAATGAAACGAAAAGAATATGTTAYTTCGTTTTGAGGCTAACAGAGCAAACCAGAACTCAAAATTGGAGTATTGTAAGTAGAAAATGGCCCAATTTGGATCATTTTCTTGTTATTAACTAAGCTCTAATTGCCCAAAGCATTCCCCAAAATAATGCAACAATTCAATGCAAAGATGCAATACAATAGTTTTATTGGTATAAAGAAACATTGACTTATTTACAATTTTTACTTCTCGAATTTCAAAAATTTTCAGATACTTGATTATTGTGTAGGGGTTCCTGTGGGTGGGAATCACACATGTGTTTAGGGCCCAGACCACATTCAGTGGAGCGTCAGTGCGGAGTCAGCGTGTTTTAGGCAAGACTAATCGGTGCGAAGCAAGAACCCCAAAGAGATCAGGTTGCAAGGACGACCCAACGTGAAGGCTTAATAGTCTCCTTCATGGTTAAGTGCGCCATCTTGAAAGGTAGCCGTT